ACTCAGTCAGCTTGTATATGTATAGTGAGTCTATATAATTAAGCCCGGTTAAGGCAAACAATAGTGAAGAAGAATTCTCATTTGCAGCCTGCCTGATAGGCCCCATCTATTTTTCCTGTGCTATAATTTTATAGGCGATTACTTCACAATTTCAGTGTCTGTAGAGCACCATCATAACAAGTGAGAGGCACTGAATTTTGAAGGCAGCCCAGTGAGCTTGGGAAGATCCTCAAAAGCCTGAGGTTGAGCAGGTATAGGCTGCCCTCAGCTTTACCTCAGGGCATGTTTCAGTCTGCAGAAGGCCAAGTAATAGATATAATGATGTCCAAGTCAGAGATTTCAGTCTAAGATGACATGCAAATTTCAGATAGACGAGGGTCCTGCTATCTCTGCTCTCAGCTGCTTCTTTTCTTGGACTCAGTTCCCTCTCTCTTTTACAGCGGAAGAAGGAATCTGTAGGATTTACACCACCAAGCATGGGTGGCCAGTATGCTAGCTGGGGGAAGGCACAGTCTTTCCAAACTGCCAGCCTGACCCCTCCCACACTCCACTCCCAGAATGCCAGCAACCACCCTCCCCTTGCACCTGGTCAGGGAAGCTGGAGCTGCATGCCCTCTGCCCTCCCTGTGTTCCGGGCCAGGCAGGCTGGGGCTATGTGTCCTCTGCCCTTCCCCTTCCCCATGCTCAAGGGCTGGAGACGATGGAGCGGTGTGCCACCCGCCCTCCTCACGCTCCATGCTTGGGTGCGAGCATCCCATCCCCATGGCAGTGGTGGCTTTCTTCCCATCCCCATGGCAGTGGTGGCATATGCAGTGTGCTGCCCTGCCTCCCTGTGGTGGGGGCAGGGCCTCAGCAGAAAGGGTGGGGCTGGGGACTTGATTCCCCCAGACTTACTTTCATGGACCACCAATGCCACCAAAGGAAGTAAGGCATTATCAACAGGCACCCTCTGACACTGCATTATACAATTCAATAAAACAGTTGACATACCAAAACTAGAGCTAAGAAAATACTGCAGACAACTGCAGGAAAGAGTTAAGGAGTCTACTAAATGCCAACAAATACTTGCCTGCTGTGATGTCAACACAAAGTTCCATTTTAGTATCTAAAAACTTACAACAAAAGAAATCACTCAGATAAAGTACATCAGACAGGTAACTAACCTTATAAAGTAAAGGTGATTGTCCTAACTTCAAAAGTGCAATTTTATTGGTGACATTTGTCATGGCTTGAATCAGGACCAAATCATCTGCAGTCCCATACCGCACATCAATGACTTCTGCCTGTAAAGAGAAAAGGTAATTAAGGTTCTGCTGTTAGTCATTTACAGTTAGTGCTTGTCTACATGGTGTGTTGGTTTAAGAGAGAAAAACATTATAGTAGGCATCCGTATGTTGTGCACAAACTGGCCCATGTGGACTCTGTGGTTTACTCTTTGTCTAGTGCAGAGTAATATATTCCCACATTAGGTTTAGGAAACTTTTTAATTTGCAACATGCTAGTGTGCACTAATATTTACACCCCTTTCATAAGAACTGACGCACTATGTAAATAAAAATGTAGTCACTTTGTCACTGGAACAAAACTACCTGCTTGATCCAAGTTCTATGACTAATTTATTTTTCAAACACCTTTAAAAACCTCTAAAGAGCTTGAGATTTAAACAGGGTTGTTAAATATACTTCTTTCAGAACAGTTTTCCAACACAATCAGGGGCTATGATTTAAAGAGCCCAACAATTTTCACCTGTAGTAGTGGTTTGGTAAGGATTCCTGAAATCTCAGTTCATTAATCTAAACATATTGTCCCATGCTCTGTGCTGACAGTTTTAGGATCCTAAATCAGCAGAAATATATAGATGTAACCAGAACAGTAACTTCTCATAATTTGTCTATTAATTTTGGAAGCGAAATCAAAAATCTATATAATATTTCAGAGAAGCCAAAATGATACTATTTGTCACTCAGGACAATACTCAATTTCTCTTCTATCTGCCACCACATTTGTCTTGTGACTTATGGATCATAAGGCTCTTGAGCTACCTATCTAAAACAGCAGTTCTCAAACTGTGGGTTGGGACCCCAGATTGGGTCGCAACCCTATTTTAATATGATTGGTAAGACTGGTGTTAGACAAAACCTGAGCCCCACCATTCAGGGCCAAAGCTGAAGCCCAAGCCCACCTTTCATGGAAGAAACTGAAGCTCAAGGACTTCAGTCTTGATGGTGGGGCTCAGGGTTACAGGCCCCCTGCTTGGGGATACAGATCTGGGCCTTTTGCCTTTGGCCCGCTCCTCTCGGGATGGTGCGGCTCAGACTTTAGCTTTGGCTCCCATGTTGGAGGAGCTCAGCTGGGCTCAGGCTTTCCCCCTCCTGGAATCATGTAGTAACTTTTGCTGTCAGAAGAGGGTTGGTGTGCCATGAAATTTGACAACCCAGATCTATAAAGTCCAATTTCTAATTATCTATCATTCATCCAAACATTTATGACAAGATTATTCTCCTAGTATTTGACTCCCTATGAAATTCTGCCATTAAGAAATGAGTTTCCATGTAGCTGTAACCCAGTCCATGTTGAGTCTATAATTCCTTATTGAGCTACTTCACAAGGGACACTATGGGGCCTTACTATATAGTATTTGCAGAGGGTTATGAAAAGCCGTGAAAAATCTTCACTTTTTGGTAAATTTAAAGGCCAAAATTTTGAAATGTAGGCATGTAAACAAAGGAGGTTTTCCTTAGAAACTGATTATGGATACTAAGCAGCTTTGAAAAAAAATCAGGCTATTTAGCTAAATGCCTAAATAAATAGGGAGTTAGGTACCTAACTTGAGGCAACTATATCTGAAAACTTTGACTAAAACCTATATCCCAAAGCCTGAGTTGAAAACCACGACCTGATGCCTCTTTGTTCTTGAGTTTACTCTTCATTATTTTTCATAAATAACAAGTTTCTTTCCAAGCAAGTGTAGTGGGAGCTGCCAAAACCACAATGTCAACCTATCAGGTAATGTAATAAAATGCTTCCGCAACATTATCTTTAAAATCAAATACTGAAATGTAAGGACAGAAAAATCATATACTTTGTACAGACGATTTTTAAAAATATGATGTTTCCAATACCTAGGGAGCATAAGAACTGCTTATTAAGAAAACACAAATGGGCACTACTTTTCAGATAAAATTTAAAGTACATTATTGGTTGTGTGAATATGTTATTTGAGAGAGATGACAAAAACATAGCTGAAGAGGTTTTTAAGCTAGAGGAAAATATTTCTTGTTATTACCAACACAGATATCCCAATTGAAAACTCTCTCAGAAGAATCATATGCATAAACGGCCCCTGCCAAGTGAGAACAAAGAATTCACTAACATTCTGTACAGAAGTTTTACATCATTTTATAGCACCCAATTTTTCTTTCACAAAGTGCCCTTAGAAAATACATACTATGTGCAATAATTACTTGGAGTTTTAAAAGCCAGAATGGTTTGAGAGGTTATAATAAAATATATATGCTGCATTCTGAGAAGGCCTCTGATCTAGCTCCTTTGTGAAATGTGCCTTTTCCACTTATCCTCAAGCAAACTGAAAATCACAGCTTTCACCGCTCAGATGAGAAAAACCACATTGAATTTTCCCCAGGCACAAATCCATATACAAAGATATAATAGGGTAAATTGTCAAGCCATTTGCTTCTGCAGCTTGCCTTTGTGAAAATGAGGTGCTTGCTCATTTATATTCAAGATACCTCTTCTTGTATCATTCCAACTAAGTACTCCAGTGAGGCACTCCTGCTTCTCACTTCCCTTTGTATAAAAGAATGTGCACAGCTAGCTGTTGGACAACTCTTGTTTCACTGAACTTCCTTCAAAAGTTACAAACTAACTTCCTGGTGAATGCTATATTTTGATCTAAAACACTAGATATTGTGCTATTCTAATTCAATACATGATCTCCGTGGAAACTGATTGAAAAGTTATGCAAACACATTATTTACTAGGTACTAAGTTGGGGCTCTCCGCTACGCAAAATACTGAGGAATACATGGTCTTTGCTGCAAAGAGTTAAATGTAGGATCAAAGACTCAAGTTAAATAACTATTCCCATGAAAAATCTCCATGAATAATGGGTGTAGCCAATTACGTGAGAAAGTTTTTTGGTATCATATATGTTAAGGCATGGAAATGGTTAATTAACACAGGTAATTTAATTACTTTCCTTCCCATTGAACCGACTGTCAGAGTTCCTTATAATGAAGATCCTTCTTACGCGAGTGGATCAACAAGGGCTTCTGTCACTGTCATGATCCTAGGAATACTCATCTAGAACTTCCAACTGATTCTCTTGCGGTCAGTTCTCTTTAATATTGATATCTCACTTTACCTTTTGGGGGACATGGATAAACCAAATGCATTTGGCTAGCAGTCTGAATCACCAAATCGGATTACACGCGAAACATGCAATAAGGAGTTATCAGGTGCCCTGAAAAAGGCCACCAAAAGTTTCTGCAACACAATCTCAGAGAACCAAATGATGATAATATTGCACTAAAATCCAGTACTGAAATCACAAAGTGTTCAAAAGAAACATGACATTATGTAAAACCACACAACAAAAAGACAACTACTTCCATGAGCTATGAGGGAAGACTGAAATAATTGGGCTTATTTAGTTTAGAAATGAGAAGACAGAGGGGACAGGATAGTGGTTTTCAAGTATCTAAAAGGGTGTCAAGGAGGAGGGAGAAAATTTGTTCTCCTTGGCCTCTGATAATAGGACAAGAAGCAGCAGGCTTAAACTGCTGCAAGGGAGGTTTCCGTTGGACATTAGGAAAAACTTCCTAACTATCAGGACGGTTAAACACTGGAATAAATTGCCTAGGGAGGTTGTGGAATCTCCATCTCTGGAAATATTCAAGAGCAGGTTAGATAGACATCTATCAGGGATGGTCTAGATGGTGCTTGGTCATGCTGTGAGGGCAGGGGCCTGGACTCGATGCCCTCTCAAGGTCCCTTCCAGTTTTAGTATTCTATTATTCTATGATAGAGTTTGAACCTTTCTAATCTGGCATCCTCAGGATCTTGGTGGTGCCAAACCAAAGAATTTACTGAACCATGGGAGGTCAATATTATCCAGCAGAATTATCAATGCTTCCACTGCTTACTAGGCTCTTGAAAGACATTTGGGGTAAACTTGAGATAAAGAACTCAGAGTCAGGACTGGTGGCTGTAAACAAACTTTATAGAACTGTAGGAAACTTGATCAGACCAATGATGAGTGGACCTCCAAGTAACTAAAATCATGTTAGACCACAGATGTTGATGGACTAGAGAGTGCCTGACTAGAGAAATTCAACCTGTACTAATGAAATTACTAAAGCAAGAGAGTTAGTAACAAGACATATACATTTGGAAGTACATTTCAGAAACTCATAGATGAACACTGGGGGTTATAATCTTTAAGTGAACTCAGTGCAACCATGCAAAACCCAGACTTCAGTAGAGTCTTTATGAGGGATGAATTTTGTCCTCAGGAAAGATTATTATTTTTTTTTATTTATTTCATAAACAAACACAATAAAAAGACTAAACAGGTAACATATAGCTCGCATATGTTTACAAATCCTTCACTGGACTCCCAGTAAATTAATGCAATTATATCACTCATCAAAGGTGATTTAATAGACATGTTTAATTAAAAACATTGTTCTTACCCCAAAAATTCCCACTAGAGACCACCCAGGATTACACTAGTATGGATTTATTGACTGAGAAATTAACACTCCACTATATACAATACATGGTTAAACTAAAGAGGCTAGAACTGCCACTAAAGGTTTAAACTAAAGGGGAACCAGCTCTCTCACTCTCACTCACACACCTTCCTTCATTCACTTACACAGGCATTTGGATTGCAGAAGGAGCCAAGGAAGGTAGATTCTGGAGGGTCTGTATGCTCATCATTGCTGGGGAGCTGCTCAGGAAAGAAACTGGCTGATTCTTTTTAGAAAGGAAGAAAGAGGTTCTGCCAAGTGCTCTCCTCTGTACAACTCCTATAACTAATCCACATTCTTCACCTGGGAGCATGCCCAGATTTCCCTTGATCCAGCAGAGCAGCAGTCTCCTTAATTGGTCTGATGACTCATCACCAGGTGCTCAGACTTACACACACACACACACACAGGGAGAATGCAGTTTAGAGCAAGTTACAAGCAAGGTGGCTGCGAGTTACAAAGATTACAAAGTTCCATGGCTCAACCATCACCAAGCTTACAGTAGGTTT